AGATGGACTAGAAAAGAGAGAACTTGAGGGGGAGACATGTACATATAAAAGTATATAAAATAAATACAACATCAATGTAAGGTAGTTAAATATAAAATGGAGAGGGTGCCAGCACTTCAGGAAAGGCTTTGTGTAGAAGCTGGTGCTTGAGCCATTTTGAAGTGAGGGATTCAGAGGCACTGGAAGGTGTGCATCCCAAGCATGAAGGTCCGCCATTGCAGAAGCATTGGGATGGGAGATGGAGTTCCCTAAATGAGGGTCAGGGAGGCTAGTTTGGATGGATGGTAGAGTGCAAGAAGAGGAGTGATGTATAATGAAGCTGGGAAGATAGGTGGGGAGGAGTTGAGGAGTACTTTAAGGAGCCACTGGAGTTGTTAAGTGTGGAAGGTATAAGATCAGATCTGCACTGATGAAAAATCCCTTTAGCAGCTATCTGGTGAATGGATTGGAGTTGAGAGACTTGAGGCAGGAAGATGAATTGGGAGAACATTACTAGGATGAGGGTCTGGAACTAAGGTCATAGCTGAGTGAGCAGAAAAGAGGTTGGATATGATAGATGTTCTGGGGGTAGAAGTGGCAATTATTATGAAGGGTGCTGGCAAGAACTGTAGTGTGTGTGTGTACCTGTGATTTCCTCCCCAATGCACTGGAGAGCAATCTCCCTCAATTGATGCACATTAGTAATTTATTTAGAATCTTGGGAAGTTGCCTGGGTTGGGGAGCAGTGTTTGACATGCCCCAAAAGTTAAAGCTAGTGTGGGTCAAAGGAACAACCCAAGTCTTCTGATTCCAAGGCCAACTCTCAATCTACATGAGGCTGCCTGTCATGTGAGTCAAAACAATTAATCACACTTTTTTTTTTTTTTTGGCAAGGTAATAGGGATAAGTGACTTGCCCAGGGTCACACAGCTAGTAAGTGTCAAGTGTCTGAGGCTGGATTTGAACAAGTCCTCCTGACTCCAAGGCCAGAGCTCTATCCACTGAGCCACCTAGCTCCTCCCCCTCCCCAAAGGTTATTCTGAAGAACATATAAAGGACTGCTCTTCAGAAGAACATATTGAAAGTATCTCCTTAGAGACAAAGCAATGACCAGACAGCTGCATAGCACTGTGGTTCATCAACTTTTTAAAAAAGTGTTTTAAAGGTTATAAATGACAAAACTACACATCAAATAGGTTTTGGAGACTGACATTATATAAGGGTTGTTGGGCTCCTACAAAAAAAGGCAGACGAATTTTATTTCAGAAGGGAAAGGTGAGTCACGGACCGGAGACAGAAGACATAGGCTTCTAGCTCAAACATCTAACACTTCCAGCTATGTTGATAGAAACCTGATGATTGGAAGAGGTATTGCTTTGGCAATTGATTGGAGAAAATCTGGAGGAAGAGTCCAGAGAGTTCTTTAGCTACTGTGTTGATTGGAAATGAGCTGAATCCTGCTCCTGCACACAAAATTTCTTCAGTTTATTGCTCTCTCGTGCTATTTAAAGTCTCAGAAACCTGAGGAGGAAATATAGACTATATCTGCTTTGCAGTTAAATGTGTTCATTGGAAAAGAGGCTTTGTCTTGCTGGGTGACTGGAGAAAGCAGAATCCTATTGAATGGAAAGCTGGCTTGCTTGCTTTGCCCAAAGTTGCAGCAACCCTGAGGTGCTGTACAATTCTCTGGCTTAAGGGGACTATTTGTCACTGAATAAGTACAGAGCTGCTGTTTTTGCTAGAAGTGTGTAACACTTTTGGAGCACTAAGTGTGGCACAGAGGTAAAAGTTTGTCATTGCTTCAGAGGAGTGATTTTGCCCAGCAAGGTTTCCCTACACTGAGGAAATCATAGGTACACACACACTACAGTTCTTGCCAGCACCCTTCACATCAAATCACTTGCCAAATCTTGCCATTTCTACCCCCAGGACACTTCTCATATCCGACCTCTTTTCTGCTCATCCAGTTATGACCTCAGTTCCAGATCCTCATCCTAGTAATGTTCCCCCAATTCATCTTCCTGCTTTAAGTCTCTCTTAACTCCAATCCATCCACCACATAGCAGCTAAAGGGATTTTTCATCAGTGCAGATCTGACCTTATCCCTTCCACACTTAACAACTCCAGTGGCTCCTTACTGCTTTGGGGCCAAATATAAGCTCTCACCTTTAAAGTCCTTCTCAACTCCTACCCACCTGAAGACCAGAAGACCAGCTGGCAAAGACACACCTTCCTATGGTACAGATTGCTCCTGAAGGGAGCGAGAATACCAAAGGCCTGCAGACTGGAGTTGTCAACTGTCCTGGGCATGAGAACTTCCTCACTCCCTCCTAGGTTCCTATTAAGTGTATGCCCACTGTTCTCTATAGACACAACATGCATTGGTGGAAGAACGTAACCTAAGTTTACAGGCAGACTATGATGTTTTGATTATTCCTGCTTATACCTTCTATTAGCAACTCTGATGTTCGATTATTCTTGTGTTTACCTTCTAATGAGTAAATGTGATCATTCTTGGTGTCATTGATTTTCTGACATACTGTTGGAGGTTTAGGAACTACAGTTGAGTAGTAGGATTGTATCTCATTCCCCAATGTTACCCTTAGGACCTTGAGGGTATGAAAAAACAAAGGTCTTTTCAGAACCTTTATGTCTCCCAAGGGTATTGAGGAAGTTAAATAAGGAAAGCAAAGGTCCTCAAGGAAAGTTGGTTCAGTCTTATGGTATGAAGAGGGTAAAGAGAAGAAAGGGTAAAAGAAATATACATAGCTTATGAAGGAAAAGAGGTAGAACAGCTTATATTCATAGAACAGCTTATCTGAGAATATTCAAACATGGAAGAAGGGGTAAAAGTAAGCAGCAGATGAGTCTCACTTATCCTATCCATTACAGAGTTTGATGTAAAAGTACATCAAATTCAACAGGGAGAAGGGGATACTATGGGGAAAATAATCATAAGCAAAAAAACTCTTATCATGAAAGGGAGATTAAAAGGAGGAAAGACATATGAATGTGATGGAACATTATTGTGACATAAGAAATGACTAAATTCTGGATAGAATGAACTGAGTAGGAACAGAACAAGACAGGTAAGATCATGAAGAAAAAAATATTCTGGAAGACTTAAGGACTCTGATCAAAAACAATGCCCATCCATGACTCCAGAGAATCTTTAATGAACCAAATTACCCACTTCCTGACAGAAGGGAGGGATACAAGATGCAGAAACACACAATTTTAGACATGGCCACCATGTAGATTCATTTTGTTCGACTCTGTTTGTTACAATTTGTTATTGGGGTGATCTAGACAGATGTTAGCAAGGTATGCCAAAAGAAGGCCATTTTGACATATTTTTTATAACATAGTAAAGTTCAGAAATTAGACAGCAAGACAAAACAGTTTGTGGTTTCACATATAATTTTCCTTTTCTGTTCTACAGTATATGTGTGTATGTGTGTACATACAGAATTTTTTTTTTTAAATGCTCTTAAGTTCATTTTTCCTAATACACGTCTGGGTTACATGGACAGATTTCTACCTCAGAAATTTGTTCACTTTGTAGACAAATGTCTGCAGTCCCTGTATTTTTTCTTTAAACATATTAATACAGTAAACTGGCAAGAAAAACTAGGGAGTCCTCCTCCCCATTTCCACCATTAAATCAAAGGCAACAACAAAAGCAAAGGGACAGGTAAAAAGCCTTTTTTCAAAGGAAGGAATTATTGTAGCTTAAAAACTTTTCAGCTGATTTTAGCTCAAGAAACATTTTAACGGTGTACATGCTCAATAGAGAATGTACTAAATTTAGGAAAAGAATATAAATGGAAACTAGACTGCTTGCTTCTAAAATTAAACAGCTGATGCCAAAGGATCCAATAAAAACTCTGTCATGCTAGAAAACAGTTAAAGGTATACCCCTTTAAACATTCACTTTAGTATTTTCAATCCTTCAAACATAACCTCAGTTCTAGTCAGACCACCCTCATAAAACAAAAAGATCAAATTTCTAGTTTCATTCCTAACATTAAAAATTACACTGCATGTACTCATACTACACATACAGTTCTAAGAAAGCTATTTTATATATCTCAAAAGTATGATAGGGATGGACTCTTGCATTAGGTTAACTTCCCTTTTGAAGACCATAGATTAATTACACACACCATCATGAAAGGAAGATCCAATTCCTAACTCATTTTCAAGTTTAGATTTTCTTCTACTGAAACATTTCTACTGGTCAAGAAAAAAAGTAAGATCTAGCTGTGAATGGCAGCCTGTTATCTCTCCCCATCTCTGACACCAGCCACAAGTGCATTAAGTCTTCTGTCTCCAAGACAATATCAACAAGGTTTTCAAGTCAGAGTCATCTAACCTTCTTCTCAAATTGTGACTTTAACTGCAGAACAAACTTACTCTTTTTGTTTCTCCCTTAAGGCTCGGTTTCATAAATTACAGAAGGACTGGAATTTATATATGCTTCTAGTTCACCCCTCCCCTAACCCCTCATTTACAGATGAGAAACTGAGGCTCAGAAGTTACGACTTGACTCAAGTCACCAAGTAGTACAGTGGCATTCAGCATCTGAATGAACCCCAATCCTCGGACTCCAAATCCTACACTCTTTCTAGTATATCCCATTTCCAATTTCTTTTGCCTACCTTAGTTTTGTAATCTGTAGAAACTTATTTCAAGTATGTGAATGTGGTAAAATGCAGTCTCATATTTAAAGAGAAAACTCTATCATATGGTCAACTAAAGCCACAGATTTAGTTTTAAGTTTCACCCACTGGACAGAAGTTTTGGGATATTACTATTTTTAACTTCTCTTGGGGAAAATATAGTAAAATTATTTCTATTTAAGTTATTAACTTAGCAACACAAAGCAAGGAGTTATTTCTCTATAATTCATCAAGGTAAAGCCACAATCTTGAACTTATATATACATAAATCCATTGTCATCCTATGTAAGGTGTAAAAAACACAAAAAATAAACAATTATGGAAAAGGTACACAGTAAATATGGAAAGAATTTTATTAGGAAAAGATAAAAAGCATGGTTTCTAATGGTCATACAGAGCAGCAACAAAACCAGGAAAATAACTATTTAAAAAGTATGTAGGGTGTCATGAGGTTGGCTTAATGGCAATACAATACCAGTAAGTAAATGAAACCCAGGCATCATTCATGCAAACAAGCATTAAGGAAAATCCAGAATAGTATGAGAATGTTTTAGTATGGGAATGTTTACAGTAGAGGTCACCATGAGAATTAAAGAAACTGTACATGTTGATGAAAAACACACAAGATGAAAAATAATAAATTAGGCAATTTACAAGAAATGTTCTATAGTTTACACTGCTGTATAACTTAGTAAGTTTATTAGGAATAAAATTTATAGTCCATCATATATTTTTTACATCACAGATTCAGTGTCGGAACAGTAAACAAAATTCAGATGTAAGTACAATGCAACAGAATAAGGCAATTTAAAAATGAAATGGCTTTTATGGATAAAGTGAATCTCCAAATAAAAAAATCTGATGTTTATAAAACTAGCTATTCTCTCTAAGGGATGCCATAACTAATTTTAGAATGATTTGGTCAGTAAAAGGGCAACAAGTTATTTGAGTTTAAGAAGCAGGTATTTTAATGTTTTTATCTATAGCTTAATTTACACATCCAAGCACAGAATATATACAAATGATGAAATTATGCACATGTCCCTAAAATATTAATTCCATCAAAATACTGGGAGGAAAAAGGGAGAGACTAGCACATACATTTCTGGTCTTTGGAATGATTTTCACTTTCTAAACATTAATTGGAAATACACAGAGCCTCTCAAAAAACAGAATGCTACAATCTTCCTAAGGTGAGACTTCAGATTAATATTTCTATCATTCCAGGTGGAACTCTGAAGTGAAAAATGACTGCAGTATATGCATCACCTTTTATTTCCACAATTTTCTCTAAGACAACACAATTAGTTGAAGCCTAGGTAAAAATATTGAGGATACTAGTGATAATCACTTTCAAAAGATGCACCAGGACTTCAAGCAAGGCAAAATATTAAAGATATAAAAATCAGTATCACAGCCAATATTCAATAATTGCATTCTAGGTGTATACAGCACAAACCAAATTTTCCAACTTCTTTATGTTTATAAGCAAACTGAAAAATAGTTTTCGTTGCTTAAAAAACAAAACAAAAAAAACCCCACCTAAGAACTAAAAGTTCAGAGGAATGGAAGACAGAAATAAAGAAAATTACAATTACCAGAGGAATAGACTAACTACAAATTCTTTTTTAGCTTTTGCTCAACACAGATCATTCAGTTTCTAACATATCATTCAGCACTGGCTGTGATTTCTGAAGTTACCAGTGATATATTTGTTTATATTTGTTTAATCCTATTATGAACAGAAAGGGAATATCTGCTATTTCCATTATATTATTCTCAAATAACTGAAGATAAAAAAGTGGAAATTCTAAAATTAAAGATATGCAATTTATGATATAATATATGTTGTTTGCAAGTTATCCATTTTGTCCTTTGTAAACTTTCTTATGGATCAAGTGTTCGATATGAGATGTACAAGTACCTGAGTCCCCCAACACCTGCCTTCCATTACAATGAAGATGGAAACTGCTAAAAAACAATTAGAAATAGGTTTCTGACAATCACTGGAGGATCACATGTGTATTTATAATGATCTGTACTCAAGAATTTAAATTGAAAATTTTCCTTTCATACAATACAAATATGGCATTTCAGAATAATGCTCATATGATTTTCAGTTTATATTAAAAACCTAAAGTTAACTGCTTCTTTTCAAGCTTCAGCCATTTTAAATTCTATTAGAGTCAGATATAGCCAAAACATGGTTTTGTCACAAAGCCTGCCTTAATAGTTATAATTTAAAAAAATAAACTATATTACTGGAAACAATTTTTCAAGCGTACTTCTACAGTATAGCTGCTAAATTAACCAAATACATATCAACTGAAATAAGACTGTTACTTTACAATTTTTCCACTTAGTAAGAACATTAAATAGCTTTAAAATTTGAGAATGTTAGTTATGATGAAGTTATCAGTTTGATAAGAAACAAAAATTTAGTACCTATTAACACTGGCAAATAGAATTATATGTATGACCTGAATTTGTAATTAGCTTCACAAATTCATTGCATATATGTAAATTTTATTTAAAATGTGGAGGAAAATAGAACAAATTATTTATTTTAAACATAAGCTCACTTTCTCTTTAGGATCCTAATGATGCATTTTCACACATAAACATAAAATTAAGAGCTGGAAGAAACTTTAGAGACTATCTAGTCTAACCTCCCCCTCATTTTTCATATGAGGAAAACTGAGGCCTGTTGAGGTTGAGATGAAGTAGTTAGGATAGTGATGGTACTATTTACAAAACACCACAATACAGCTTCACTGAATGTAAACAATAAGACAAATTAAGTTTAATTCAATGTCAAAAAATTTCATTTTTTGTCACTTAAAATTACTTAATTTAGGCTAAATATTTTAAAGTAAGCAAAAAGAAAGACACTCAGTAACTTTTAAATCTCTACTGAATCTATACTAGGTTCAATATCAACTACTATCACAGCAAACCATTTCCTCAAATGAAAAATAAACTATGTAAAGTACACAGTCCCTAAGTTCATTTCGATAACAGGGCTTAAGGAATAAAGCTACTTAAAAAAACCAAGGTGACAACTTCTTTGATATTGAAAAGAGGTTTTTAAGTAGACTTGCTGTGTAAATAGGAACATTTCATTGACACTTTGCTGGGCAGGCCATTTTACAAAATTGTCAAAAAATTTTTTTTAGTAATACCAGAAAAGGCAAAGCCTATTTATTTACCATTTTCCTTCATGAACTAAATGGTGAGTAAAAGCACAAATACAACCAAATGAACACTCATTTTTCTGTTCTTTATACATGGCTTTTAGTGGAGAATGGGGTTTTTATTACCAAAATACATTCACAAGTGCAATATCTAAAATGCATAAAGTGCTCAAAAGAAAAAAATACAAAGTGTGTAGTCAATTCTTTGTAGCTAAAAACCAAAAACTTTCTCCCAAGAGGAGCTCAGTGGTTATAACGGGCATTTCAAAACTACTGCCTAGCTGTATCTTCAAGCCAAGAATGCAAATACACAAAAAAGGTGACACAGCAAGGGACCATTCTTTTAATCCAACAATGCCACAGATAAAGAAATGAAAATCTTGTCATTTTCTTGGTCCATTATATTGCTTATAGAGATGGAATAAGCATTCCAATGATTGGTACTTCCAATACAAGCTATGAAACTTGCATTAGTGAAGGCAGAAAGTTCATGATATCTTTATAGATTCTGATATTTGGCAATTAATTTATGTCTGTTCAAGGATTTTTAGACGTTCTATTGATTAAGGGCAGTGACATTTTTATTGCCTAAGCTAAAAGTAAACAAGTCTCTAGTGCTCTCTAAATCAGTAGGGTCAGCAGGTCTATTAATACTTTGCCACAAGTAAATTGATTAGTGCTGAAAAGAAACCTTGCTCTTTTATTCAGAAAAAAAGGCTACCCCTTCCCCTCCACCCCCCTTTTGAGTAATTCTGAGGTTGTTATGCTCCTTCAATTTCAGAGTATATCCCATTATTTTCTTAGGAGTAAAAATTAAGTTAAGTTAAGTAGAAGACAAGAATTGTTCGAACAAGGTAGTGGAGACAACAAATAAATCAATTAAGGACTCAATAGGAAATTACTCCTTTGGTGCCTGAAGTTGGCTTCTGACAATACCATTAAGGTGAAAGATTTAAGGCACTGAAATTGCCAAATCAACCTAGTGAAAGAATTACAATTTTTAGAAATTGTTGAGAAAAATGTGCCCAGACAGGTGTTTTTCCATTTAAAAAGCTAACTTTTACATGAGTTACTTCAATAATTCTATTCGTAACAGGGAAATGGATACTAAGAGTGATGTAGAATATTTATTAGGAACATCCAGAAGTAGTACCAGGCCAAAAAGAGGGGATTTCCTGACATTTACTGAGAAATAAGTTTGCATATATTCTTCCTTCTCAAGTGGGTTTTCCTTTGGAAAGGCCCTATTCAGGAACCTTCATGTTCATTTTGTTATTTCTCAAGCATGCAGCTTTGAGGACTACAATGGCCAAGCTTAGAGCTAAAGCTCATTTACAATGCTTAGAGGGAATTGAAAGATTATCAAGAAGTATAATCTTAATAGCTTTTGTAGCAATTGCATTTTCCTTATGCTCCTGGAGAATAGGATAAATATTAGAAAAGGCAGAGTGATGGTAATCACATTTTATGGAAACTACATCCTTCTTTGGTTGTAGGTGACTTCACTATTAACAAAAGACCAAAATTCAGATGTACCACAGTTCCAACACACATATTAGGACAGCACCTACACTATTTTTAAACGAAAATTTTCCACTTAAAAGTCTGAGAAAAATCAATATTTGTCAACTTTTTTCACTTAGATGCCTGCCCCCAATAGCTACTAATGTAAAAACTGCATCACCTTTGACCACAGTTTAAATGAAATTAAGGCCAAATTGGAAGTCTTCAAACTAAAGAAATCATCAAAATATGGCTGAAATATATATGAAATAGCTAGGAAAAATTAAGTGGGATGTTATCATTTGGGGTTTTAAAACAGCTAAGATCTTAAGTTTGTTCAGTTTAAAATTATCTGGATTCTTTCTTTTAAATGACATTCCCACTACTTCCAACTTCCCTCACAACTCCATGGTTCAGAAATTCATGACTTTATAGAAGGAATATCTTACAATCAACAGGGTCTGGCAAACATTTGAGCATGAGGATACATGATGGAGAAATGTTTATATAGCGCATCACAGCCTACTGAAAAACATAATAGAAAGTCTTCTCCACCAAGTACATATTGAGTTATGCAGTGGTTTTATACAGATACATAATACTTCTCTTCATGTAATGAGTACCATCATGGTGTATTAAGAGGTGGTTAATATTCTCAGCCTTCCAAATTCTAAAAATCTCATGAACACCATGCTAAAGCACTGAACTACTTTGATAATGTTACTTCGAAAGCAAAAACCTGAAAAACTCCACAAATTTACCAAAAACAATGACTCCAAAATAGAGGGTAAATTCCAAGGCCAACAAGTTTTACAAACAGTAGAATTATAATGCTTTTATTGCCAGAATGTACAAAACACTGATTCTTTTATGATTCTATAATACTGCCTCTGAATCCCATGAAGCTTCAAAATAACTAAATCTTCCAGTTTAACAAAACATTCTGAAAGCTTAAGCAGGGCTTTTTTTCCCTCACATAATAGAATACAAAGTTTTTTGCTTTGTTGGATCAGACCTTATAAAAATGGGTGACTGAGTTCTGGTCTGAAAGGAATATAGCAGAGGGAATACACCCAACTTGAGTGATGCACTTCCATCTCATACCATTATATCTGTCTACTGTCTTTATTTCACCATTCAAGTTATCAAATTATAAAATTTTAGATATATCTTTAAATGTATTAAGCATAATGATTTTTGACTCCATGAATAGCGCTCGACTACACCAACTAACAAACTAGAGTAGTTTTATAAAATATACTGTCAGAGCTTAAGCTGCTATGTACCTGCAGTTTCACAAATCTCTATATATTTTAATTACATCATGGTATTTGAAAATACTTTGAATTCTACTGGGAATCTCTTGAAAACCATAGACACAGACTTTAAAAAAATGCATTAGGAAAGCTCCAATGGTCCTCAATGCCTGAAATTATATATCATCACATGAAAATGGAACCTCTCTATGACACTTTGGTTGTCGAGGTGTATTTTCAATAAAGGGTGTGAAAAGTAGCCAAAAGATGGGTAAAAGAGACTCTTGTAACATACATTTTGAATGAATTATTTTCATAAACTAAATATCTGGGGACTCCAAGATTTTTCTTTGAGCATACAGTACTGTAATGCTGACTACTTAAAAATAAACAAAAATATTTTTTAGAAGCTCAATCAGAGGTTGTATTGCATCAAAAGGATTTAATACTGGCTATATACAGAGAAGAGTAAGACCAAAATCCCTAAAGCATCTCAACTGGAAATGCTTCATGTTACCAAGACCTCACTTTAATATGGCAACATTCAGTAGCTTACCATTTTGACATTTAAAAATGAACAGCAACATTGCTGTTTTTCCCCTTGTCCTTTGGTTCCCATCAATTTAAATAATGTAATAATAATCCCTCTGATTTTCAGTTCCAGTTGGATGGCATTACTGACATAGTGACTTCGATGCTTTAGCTGAAATTTGGCAGCCCCAGGAGAGCACCAACTGCTCCGAAGTATCCCTGTAGAAATAGCATTTTAAAAAATATCAGTGCCCATAATAGTAAATGCTTTTCAAAACAATGAGTATATTATTTATCAAGGAAAAGTAAATTGGACAATTTCCAACATCACATCTAATTCTGGTTAAAAAATGATTTGACTTTCAGTAAAAAGAAATAACCTATGTATAATAAATTGACAGTCTATTTGCAGCAGCAGAGTAATCAAAGAAAGGCCTCTTAGTATGTTGGATGAATCCTTTGTGTAGGATTTTCACAAAGACTTGAACAAGAATCACACAGGGTGAGAAGGCATATGGGATTGGATTTCCACTGGTACATGGAGAAGCCACACAGATGAATTTCTGAATGAATAAAGTAGTATCTAAATTTTTTTTAGAAGTATGTTCTACATAAGAGAGGAAAAAAAAGAGCTATCTAGCTGGAAATTTACAACAGGCTCCCAAGTAAGGAAGAGAAGTTGACAATCTCACAACATACCTCATGTTCTAGAAACAATGCCTTCAACTGGCCTTTGGACCAATAATCCAATGCATATGCCAAAAGTTTCATTGATAAGGTATTGACACGTAGAAAGTTTCCAACAAAGACAACTCTATTTATTTTCTAAAATAAAAAAGCAAGAGGCTACTTAAAAAAAGCATTATAACATCTGTCATAGATAAGAACATGCATCTATGATCCTTACTCAAAATACATGTAGTTGAATAACCCACTTTAAGAAGAGACACCAAATTATAAGTGAAATTTGCTTTAACAGATTTACAAAGCGCTTTGGTGACATGGTACTTTTGAGAGTAAGCTGTTTCCATGTACATAAATTTAGAGCTGAAATGGACCTTAAAGATCAAGTAATCAAATCCTCTCATTTTATCGATGAGAAATAAATGAAGATCAATGTTTAAATGAACCATCCAAAGTCACAGAAGTAAATGGCAAAGAAAGGATTTGAACCCAGGTCCCCTAACTTAAAATCTTGTGCTCTTTTCTACTGCACCCCCATTAGAAATGGATATACAAGATTTGCTTTGCAAAACAAGCTATAAATTTAGATACTGCAGTGTGTTGACAGTGAAAAAGAAAAGGGGGGGAGGGGATGACAGCTATACTGCAATTTAAATAAAGAATTAAAGAGTAAGAATTTGTCAGTGTGTAAACTACATATTTAGGGGAGGACTTTCTATCACATCAATGAGAGTATTGTCACCAAAAAGTGCATACCAGGTTCAACAAAGTAACTGGTCTGCCATCATCACCAACCAACCTTCTAATTACTAATTCAGTTTTTCAGGTACTTCAATAACAGAGTGATGATAGCAGGAAAAAAAAAACAAACTACTTTAGTAATATGAAAACCTGTTCATTAAACTAAACAAATACAAAGGCAGACCTGGGCTAATCACTAAGGTTCTTAAAAACATTAAGCACTTATGTGTAAAGAATTGTAGAATGTTGTGCTATAAAGACAGAAAACAAAAATATTTCTTGCACCTAAGACATTTATAGTGATTCCACATCACTATATATATATATATATATATATATATATATATATATGTATCTCACATTTAAACTACAATTTAATTTACCTAAATTATAAATTTACCCTGATCCTTTCCAGATATAACTCGTGTGTTAAATGAAGTACATCTGTAACATTTGTTTGTGGATCTGAAATAATAAAGGGCAAAGCTCCAAATCAAATACTACCCACCATTAAAAAATTAAACCATTCAATGTTTATTTGAAGAGCAAATCTCAATGCCTTCATAGCCCTGTACAATGCTGCTTGATCCATATGCAACAAGGCAGCACTGTAAAGAAGCCGAAGACAATAAGAAATCTTCCAGACGCTCAGCCAATTTTAATACAAACAATAAAAGAAGCCCCAATCATTGAGACCAAAAAAAGGAAAATGAACTAGTTATTAGAAAAAGAACACTATTCATTAGAGCTCAGCTTCTAATTAAACTGGTAAGATTTAAGACTTTCTGAAAAGGTTCTGCATTATGTTTCCTAGATAAAAAAGGAAATGTAAATACTGCTTTAAACTAAGGCCTATCTAATTAAAACTTTGTGTGCCAATTAAGCTAAGTGATAAAAAGTAGGAAAAATATATTAATCCTTGGGTTTTAATGGAAATAAAGTATTTTTTTAAATTCCTCAACTATTTTTAAAACTTTATAGTCATATAGTTTTCATTCAGTATTTTTCATCTAATTAAGAGCATGCTTACCTCATTAACAGCACACATCCTTGCTACAGAACCAATGTTATTGGTGATAGTAACTAAAGTAGCTCTTGCTAGATCTTCTTTACTAACAGATTCTCTCTTTTCCTTATAGATCATGTTCCCAAAACTGCAGGGAGGGAAGGAAGATGAAAAAGAAGAGAAAGGAAGAGAGCAAAGAAGACGGGAGGGTCAAATCCATTGTAAATAAGGCAGCCTGTTATTACAGACTTAAGAACTTCTCATAGCCATGGAAACAGCACTTTTTCCTCAAAGATTTAAAAAAATTATCTAAGGTTAATCTTTTTAATACAAATCACATGCACAAAACTATTGACACAGAACATTGGAAGTAAAAATTTTATCTGTAAGAGTGACCACACAAATTAGAATAAACTCATTCTTAGAAGGAACAGGTTATCAAACACTACTTATTTGTAAAATTTTCGTATAAAACATTAGAATCTAGGAAAATTTTCTGATCTAGAGACCTCCAAATAGGGAAATATTTTGATCCATTTCACAAAATTACTGTTGTACATTGTTAGGTAATTTTTAGTTGCCCCCTTAAACTCAAGTTAACATATCAATCTTATCTACATAAAATTCTATTCTCATAATTGTTTGCTATACATTAAATTTGTTTGCAAAAAAAAAAAAAAAAATACGAAATGACCCCTGTGAATGATTCAAGAATTTAACTTACCTAGATGCTACAGTCCACCCTGGCAAGCCAAATCTTTCATAATCTCCTCCATAAATATCACGGACCAATTTATCAGCATGGGTGCTATCACCTTTGGAAGCCATTTCAAGAGCTTCTTCAAAACTTTCACAGCCAGTCAGTAAACTGCATAAGCCCAGAAATGTGCCTCCTCCCAGGCTAAACAAAAAAGAAAAAAACTTCATGAGAGTTCTATTATATCCTTTCCCCAGGGTCACAAATTCTCTTCTCAAAAGCTAAGATACTGAAAAATTCTTTTAAGAAAAACATACTTTGCCTTTGTGGCCTCTCCCCCAGATTAGCTGGTTCCTCCCTGAAGTTCCATTTTAAAGAGGAGATCCAGGTCACTCAAATCTTCATATTCCTCCTCTCTTCTGACGCTCCAGTTTCTCAATCATGCCCCCTTGACCAGGTACCTTACTTTTCCCTTACCCCTTTCAGCTTCCTTTAGTGTTATCTCCCCCACTTAGAATGTAAATTCCTTGAAGGCAGGAGTTATCTTTCTTTCTGCTTATATTTGTATTCCCAGTGATTATCACAGTGCCAGGCATACAGTTAGTGTTTAATAAACGTTTGTTGACATGTTTTCTTGATGTGCTTAAAAACCCAAGTTCTATGTGTTTCTCAAATGAATGGTCTATGAAAGGAAGTCTGCTTAATACTTTTAAGTCCAGAAACCATCCAACTTATTAAGTTCTGACACCCAGGGTATCAACTTGGAAAGTAAGAGGGGAAATTGAAATAACTTTATCTTGCAGGAAAATATAAGTAGGCTCATAAATTTAGAGCTAAATGAGACTCAAGAGTCTAAAAAATTTTCTTTTAACACCACCTGCACATGTAAATAAGGGGGTGAAGGAAAAAACTCCATATACTGGGGAAAATGTTATTGTAGCTGCAATTTCTAAATAAAGTTAAACACATCCTAATCAATCAAATGACTGCAGATTCCACTTACTTTTTGTTGTGAACATTAAAATAAATTCACAGTGTTTGCTGCTTTGCTGACAGAAACTTCCTGGGTTCAACTAAACTTTTTCAGAGTTATGTCTTAGGATGGGTCAAAGTTTACAAATGGTCTAAAAAAACGTGACACTGGCACATTCTCATTACTGTCAGCACAGAGGCGGAAGAGGGACACAGAAGACTGAGAGTCATTGCGTAACTTTTTGTTTCATGAATTGCTACAGCCAAAGAACTGGCTATCACCAACTGGAAAGCCTACTCACACACAAAGCCTGTCCAGGATGGCAGAAGCTGCCAGTCCTTGTACTACATCAGCATAGCTTTCTAGAAACAACAAAATGAAGCACTGAAGATGGACTTTTTAATACGCAAGTAGGAGTAGGAAAAGTCATTTATCAGAGTCCCTATTTTGAAACTGGGATTCCTAGGGGAAAACTCAGACTTTAAATTTTTCTAGTATAATTTATCATTCATTCACTATTCTATTTTATTAACTTCCTTGTGTTTTAGTTTCCCGAGTGATAAAGGATGCAACCTCTACCTTGCCTTCTCAACAATAATGAGAATGTGGGGAGAGCTTTGATTGCTAGAGAAGTTAAGCACTAAGGAAATTAGTTTCTTGTTCTTAACTCAGAGGTAATACACACAAATACTGTGGGGAGTTCTATGAATTTATTCCGAATAAACACTTTTTTTGGTGAAGATCTAAAATAACTTATGGTATAATCAACACAGCATTAAAATTTCAATCTCTTAAAGTATAACACTAAAATTGATGTCTAAGTCATAAGTCTATTTAAGAATTTGAGGCAAGTGAAAAACTCATTCATACTTTAAAAAAAAAAGCACGTGTGTGTGTGCATGTATAAAAACTCATGAATGAAAATACCTTACATAAAAAACTTTATTTCACGTTACATACCAATGTGGCTTTCCTTGTTATATAAAGGTAAGGTGCCTTCCTGGCAGGTCAGTATTATCTATTTATAAAGAAATTTGCATTTCCACTGATGGAAATCTACAGAGGACAATATTGCTATACCTTTGCTTCTTTCCAGGAAAACTCTTAAACAGACTAGAAATAAGCAGTGAATAATGGGAAAAGGGAATCAGTTCCTTTAGAACATATACCTTGCAAAATGTTGACTTAATAATTTATTTGTGCATTTACAAGACTGAATGGTTATTACCTTGTTCCAGTAACTCGCTTATAGTTGTCTTTGGAATGGACAGCTAAAATACTAACTCCAGAACCAATGTTCACAACCAGTAGTGGATATGGGTCATCCAAGTTAAAAGGCATCTTTTGGCATCTTTCAGGTTCTGAGGCATTGCCAAAATAATAGCATTCTGCCTGCCCATTAAAACTGACAGAATCTATATATAGCAAGCCCTTTACAAGGCAGTCAAGTTCATCCAGTTTGTGCAGCTGGAGGTTTCCAATCTGTTTTTTAAAAAGAGAAAACATCACCAGCCATTTAAAAAACAAAATATATCAACCATTCAAATAAAGCTCAATACTCTTATGCTAGACTTTACATGATTCTGGTTGTCTGTTCAAAAAGCATGTACAACACTAGTTGTTTTCAACACCTGGAACAAAACTGTCATTTATAACCACTCTGCAAAATTTAAAATACATGGTGGAAAGAGTGATGTAATCTAAACTAAGATCTAAACTAAGAGTTGAATTGCATGTGACTTTAAGCAAATCAATTAACCTTTCTGGGACTTAGTTTATCGTCCATAAAATGAGAGATCTGGACCAGATGACCTCTGAGGTTCTTTCTAGTGCCAAATCTATGCTATTATGGTCTCTTACCAAACATTTCATTAGCTCTTATTAAGCCTTGTTTCAGAATTTCCAAGTTACTCCATTTAAAAATCTTAATAATGTGAACCTTATGTCCCATCCCAGTTATCTTTCTGATCTTCATTTACAATTTCTACTTCTGGTACTCTATCTGCTACTCATCTGGTAGGCTCTACTACATTAGGATGGCTCTAGAACATAGCTTATGTGAAAGGTATTGTATCTGGGGGGTTTTCCCTCCCTGAATATCGTTCAACATGCTTAATCATAACTTTCACATCTCAAGATACATAGTAGTTTAGGAAAGATGTGACATTCACATGACTATTTCAGGAGATATATCAAATGGAGGGAGATCATTTTTACAGCATCACTGACAGATTACTTACTGTCTGCTTGAATAACTCGGGCATTAGATTCCTACGATATGTGGATTCCCTCCATCCTCCTTATTTTAGAAGCAAATAAAACATTTAAACTGAAATACCAATAAGATTAAGAAATACAACAGATTTGTCATTTTATGGTCTTGACACTGGATATCTAACTGTCATGTAGTTCTACAATAAAAAGTGTTCCTTCTCTAACATTTTTTAACTGAAGAAAATGTCAATAGTGGATTCCATCCCCTAAAAAAATGTCACTTCTGCAATTTTTTTTGTGTCTTGTAATCTAAAAGGCATCAGTAGATTACAATGAGCAACAGTTTTCAAAAACACCAGGCAAATGCAATAAAATATCTGTCCCTACCTCTGCTGGCCAAACTCAATTCAAAGTAAAATAAACTGTACAAACCAACATTATCTGTCAAAATGCATGGCAGATCTTTAGGCTGACTCAAAATTACAAACTGAATAGTTTTGGCATGTTAACAGCAGTTATTTCCAAAAGCCAAGAAATTTAAATGTCACTAAGTCAACAAGCATTTGTATAGCTACTTACAATGTGCCAAGCATCGTGTTAAGCGCTGGGATACAAAGAAAGGGAAAAACATAGTTCCTACTGCCTCAAGAGATTCACATTCTAATTGAGAGAAGCCAACACATAAATAATTATGTATATATAAAATGTATATAGTGCAAATGGAAGATAGTATCAAGAGGAAAAAACAGTTGGGGCAGACAGGAAAGGCCTTCTATAGAAGGCTGGATTTAAGTTGAGTGCTAAAGGAAGCCAAGAAAACCAAGAACTGGAAGTGAGGAGGGAGAACTTGCCAGCAATGGAGGACAGCCAGTGACAGGGCAGAGTGACATGTGAGGAACGGTAAGTAGGCCAGTGTAGCTGGTTCACAGAGTGTATAGAGGAGTGTAAATCATAAGACCAAAAAGTGAGGAAGATAAAGCTGTAGATAGCTTTAAATGCTAAACAAATTTTTATATTTGATCTTGGAGGTAGCAAGGAGCCACTGGAGTTTACTGAGTAGGGGAGGTGGAATGATAGCATGATCATATCTGTCTTTTATAAAAATCAATTTGATGGCTGAATGGAAGATGGATTGGGGAGAGATTTAGAGGTAGGGAAACCAATTAGAAGGCTACTGCAATAGTCTAGGCATAAGGTGATGAGGGCCTATACAAGGATGGTAAATGTGTAAGGAGAAAGAAGGGTGTGTGGGTGTGTGTGTACGAGAAAGTATGAAGGTCAAAATGATGATCTGACAGGACATTTAGGGTGAGTGCAAGTGATGAGCTGAGAATGACACTAAAGTCTAGGTGACTAGACATGGTGGTGCCTTTGACAGTAGTAAGAAAATTGTGAAGAGGGAAAGAGTTTAGACAGAAAGATAATGATTTTGGTTTTAAAGAGACTTTACATTCACAATACATAAGTAAAGAAGTGATATCTACATTTATTTTGCATATACTAAAATATGTACATACTGTCTCCTCCAATAGAATGCAAACCTCCTTAAGAGTAAAAATTGTTTATTTTTTTGTCTTTAGTCCCAGGGCACATAGGAGGTACCTGATAAATGCTTATTGATTAGTGTATATGTGATACCATGTAAATAAAACATTTTATTTATAAATGTATAAATATGTAAATAATAAACACAGTAAACATAAATAATGCATAAATAAATTTTTTTAGCTTTTTATAGAATCAGAATTGTTGACTTATAGACACATGTAAAACTTCAGAGGTCACCTAGTCTAACCTCCCACCAAATGTAACATCCGAGGAACCACAGTTACTATCAACTCTTCCAATACCTATTTTAACAGAGGGGACAATCTAGGATAATCCGTAACAGCATCCAACCACCTGGGGAATGAAAGCATGATAGAGACAGTAGTAAGGAAACAGAACTAGAACCTGCTGAATGACAAAGAAATTCATTCAAGCTTTCAGGACAGGAGGCACTGGCACAAGAGAAGTTTGACAGGGTGATGGCTTCCTACTCCTGTATTTTATCTGTACAGCATTAAGTGGGAGTGGATTATAGAGACAATTCAAGGACAATTTTTATGTAGCCTGGGAGGTCTTTGAAGCAGATTTCCCACCTTAAACAGGTCTTTAAAAACACACTGGAAGCTCCTTTATGACATGAGTGCTGGGGCAGAGAACTGTAACAAATGTAATAAGCAGTCCTATCAAGTTTCAAATGAGTCTAGAATCTTGTTCTTGGAAACGTGACTTGAATCATGGATATCCAAAATCCATACAATATATTATACAGATGTTTTACTTTTTTTTAAAACCATAGACATTCTCTCAGTACACACTAGTTTAATAATGCAGCTAAGTAGTTCAGGCATAAACTACAGGTAAGGTAGCTTGATACTAAAGCAAGAATTAATTAGACTTGTAATAATTTTTAACAGTTACCTACCGTGCGAAAATCTTTTTCAAACTTGTAAGCACCACCTCCAGTAGCACATAGCACCGTGTGTAATGTTGAGAAGTTTTTATCTCTCCCCATTTGGATAAAAGTAGGCAGGTCATGGGTTGGAAATCTGATAAAGTGCAAGTTCCCTCTTCGGCCAAAGAGTGTCAAATCCTTCAGTTCAAGATGAACATCCCTAACTCCGGTCAACCCATAGGCTACATTAGAAGTCAGATATTTCCGGATACTTTTTAAACTTTCAACTTCTTCTTGCTCCTCCTCTGCTGTGATATCAATGGGCTCAAAATATGCAAGTTTCACAAGAGTGCCTCCTATGTCCATGCCAAACCATGGAAAAGCTATAAATATAAGAAATGACAGAAATCAACACTGATCTTTCAGAAACCAACAAACATGTTAGCCAGCCACAACATCTACCTTTTGTTTTGGAGATTAGGTCTCCCTATCTTGTCCAGGATGGAAGTGCAGCCGCCACGCGTAGAGTTGACCCCACTGAAGCTCAGAACTGATCTTCAGCAATCCACCAGGGTTAGCCACCCTGGTCAACCTCTCAAGGATTATAGACCACCACACCCATCAACCACCTATGCTGAAATATTATTTTCCCTGCAAACTAATCTGCTAACTTTTTTTCCCTCCAAACTAAAAAACTCCAGAGTTGGAATATTAGAGATCAACTGAAATCCAATTCCCTCATATTGCAAATGAGTAAAGGAGGCTTAGAGAAGCTAAAACTTTTACCCAAGGTCTGAAAGTAGTTAGTGCAAAAGATGAACCCAGTCTTAATGTTACTTTAGCGCTATTTCCCTAAATGATGCTGCTGAATAAAATTTTTTTGTTACATTTCTTTCCATTGTAATGGAGTTTGATCTATTATCAATGTGCCATACCATTCTACATTAGCTCAGGAAACTAGGTTGGTCTGATACAAATGATTAGCAAATTCATTTATCTATCACAAGACTGTCAGTTCAAGTCCACTTAAGCACTGTGTTGGAGGTCAGGAAGGACTTACCTCTCTGGGACCTTAAGGAAGCTGATATAGATGGTCTCTAAGGGTCCTTCCAACCATAAAATTCAATTACACAATGTGAGTCATCTAACTTTTATGATATGGACTTGAGATGTTATTGTACCTACGTTCCCAATGTTTTTGAAAAGTAGTATTATATATACCTAGCTATAAATTATAAATCTGATTCTTAGGGTTAGCTTGCAAACACAACAGAAACAGGTTTTCTGCAAATTCTTTAGTATTTTAGGGTACCCTTTTCTTTAAGTCTGATTAAAATACCTAAAAATTTCCATGGAAAATTTATTAAGGAGAATTCTCCTTAATTCTTTTTCTACAACTCTACTTTCCTTCTTTAATCTTTCCTAAGAATACATTCATACTCCCCTTGCTTGAAATATACATTTTCATTAATTTTGAGGTGGGAGATAGAAGCATATGATTCAATGAGAAGGGATTCTAAACTTCTCCATTTCAGAACCTGCATACTGACTAAAACTAAAAAATTATTTCAAAAAGGGGGGCAGGTGAGCTAAGGACTTTAAAAGGGGACACACAAGGTTCTACTCACAAATAAAAGTAAGATACACATATATTGTCCCTATTCAATTGTAACAAGTTTTATTACTATCCTAGATCAGTATAAATAGGGGAATGCTATAAGGGGAAAGGAACAAATATTCAAATACCTGCTATGTACCTGCAGTGTGCTAAGCTTTTAAAAAATATCTCATTTAATTCTTACAATTCTCTAAGGTAGGTGCTATTATTCCCATTTTACAGTTGAAGAAACTAAGGCAGACAGAACTTAATTGACTCGCTCAGTATCAAACAGCTTCTAAGTGTCAAAGCCCAGATTTGAACTTAGGGCCTTCCTGGCTCAAGCCACACAGCTCTATCCACTTAAACAACGAAAAACATAGATTACCTCTATTTTGTTTAGCTGTCTGCATATAGCTCAAAACTCAAATAAGTAGCAGGTAGCAATTTACATATGAAAAACCCTTTGTTAGAAGCTATACCAGGAGCACAGCTTTAAATAAAGATGTAAGATCAAATAAATATTTTAAAACAAACCTTTTATTTTCCAACATTTTCCAACCAAAACAAACCTATTATTTATATTGTAAATTGTAGGCATTGATTTGTATTTAAAAATCCCAAATTACTGCTTTAAAATATTAATCCTATGAATTTTTTCCCCTCCATTAAAAAAAAAAAATTAGATAAATCAGAAGTACCACTCAATAAAACTAACAATTACAAGGGGAAACTCCACACTAAACATGGTTCCTCAGATAAACACATTTTAGTGGGGTAGCAATAGGGGCAATTCTATTTATCCAACAAAGCAAAAAAGACTTCATAAGAATTTTTCCAATCTGTTGAATAAATATGAAATTAGGGCATTTTCCCTGGGTATTAAACAAAGAGGCCATTCTGGCATTGCATAACCGTGATAGGTACTTTCATGGCTTCAAGTTCTAGAAGGGTTGTGAGAAAAACTACACAATCAGTGCTATGAAAAAGGGTGGTGACCTGGAGGGGTTATTAACCTGATAAAATATTTCCTTTCTGAAACTCAACTCTGTATGAATTGATAAAAAATTTAATCTGAAATCTTTTAAACTCTGAGCCTCTGCATTCACACAAAAATATATACCCCAAATTATAAGCATCACTCTTGCAGGCAACTTAGAAAGCTCTATGGGGTTCAGAGCTCATGCCATTTTTCTTGCCTGAAACCTTTGGACAAGATTTATAAATAACAATACCACTCTACATCAAAGTGAAAACCCCAATTAGCACATATATGTGTGTGTGTGTGTGTGTGTGTATATATATGTATATATATAGCTTTGTAATTCTCAAAAGCTACATATAAGCATTGGAACCTTATTGCATAAGGAGTTATTTCTAGTTTGTAGATGAAGAAACACATTTACTGTTTTTAAAACCATGCAGGAAAACCCAAGATAACTCATTTTTTGACCCCTTGGTCATAATACCATTTAATTCCAAAGTACATATTGATGATCCTGGCTGGGGGAATGATTAGTATACTAATTCTGCAGGAAAAAAAATCTCGTTTGTGATTTCATACCGTCATATGAATATTAATACTAAATGAATTTTTTTCAGGGAAAGGCTGATGTGCTAGGCTAAAGCCCTAGGCATAAGTGGAGGGGAAACTGCGTTTACATTGAGAAAAACCTCAAAAGTGAACTGTCCCTCTGCTATAGGATTTAAGAGCATGACAACTAGGTTTGCAAAATCATTTAAATGTTTTAGCTACCTAAAAAAAGAACAGTACCCATAAACTAAACATATTCTATAAAGAGCACATTATAAAAAGTGCATTCAATCCATCTACTCATTTTTATTCAGTTTAGAACACCACCCAAATAAAACAGCAACCTAAATTTGGAAGGTCTGTTGAACTGTGTCATATACTGAGCCTGTTATCTGAAAATGAGGACACTGCCATTCTAAAATGCAGTCTAGGATTGATCCAATGTGCAAGAACAATTCTAAGACGCCATATGAATGTCTTAGGTCACACATGATTACAGAGCTGAAAAAGTGTATACAGATCATTAAATCCAATCCCTAAATTTTACAGATAAGGAAAGAGGCCCTGAGAAATGAAATTATCTCCTCAGTCAGAGAACTCTTAAGGAGGTAAATCAAGCTCTATGCTCCAATCTTCTGACAGTCCATATCACTCCTGTTACAGCAGTCTGTGTGGTTGGCTTATTTCTCAGTCAAGGACAGGGGCAGCTGGGTGGTGAAGTGGATAGAGCCACCTGCCTGGAATCAGGAGGACCTGAGTTCAAATTCCACCTCAGACACATAATACTTCCTAGCTGTGTGACTCTGGGCAAGTCACTTAAACCCAACTGCCTCACTTTAAAAAAAAAAAAAAAAAAAAAAAAAAAAAAAAAAAAGAGGAGTAAATTTTGGGGGCAGCTAGGCAGCACAGTGGATAGAGCACCGGCCCTGAAGTCAAGAGGACCTGAATTCAAATGCGGCCTAAGACCCAACACTTAACACGTACTAGCTGTGTGACCTTAGGCAAGTCACTTAACCCTGATTGCCTCACTAAAAAAAAAATCAAGGACTAACTTTTTAAATATAAAGTCTTTACTATCCTACTCTGTAAAATTTTTAGGCAACTAATTTTAATATGAAAAAGTAGGGAAAATGCACTGCTATGAGACTTCAAAATGTAAGGAGGTCTGCTCCTCTCTGATAGGAATCATGATGTACTCTATTCCCAGAAAAAAAGTTAGTGCTACCCACCTTTTGCCCAGAAATCCCTAACGTCAACACAAGAAGACTACTGGAAACTCAAGCTAAAATTGTGGAACCCATTTGCCAATGGATAATGCTACCACTTAAGGAAGCATAGGAGAAACAGCAGTACAGGGAGTAAGAAGACACAAATCCTAGTATCAAACCTACTTCTGTCTGAAGAGTCTGATTACAGACCACAAGTTACTGAATTCAAAATCCCTCCAATTCCTAAAATAGGAATATCTCTATATCCTACTTACCTCAAGCGTAAGGAACAAATTGCAAATACTTGCAACATGGAATAATATAGCCTAAGAACTAAGCTACAACTACCCCCAACCCCCAAAACTTATAGTTCCTTAGAAAATATTAAAAGCCCCTACAGGTGAAAAAGCCAAATGAACATATCAATAAGGTTACCACTACATTATAACCTGTAAACACAGTTTCTGAGAACAAAAATTCAAGATGCAACAATTTTACATAACAGGGAAAACAAAGTACAAAAAAGTACTAAGTACATGCACTTTGTTGAAAGCAACCATACCCTCCCTAGTTTTATAGTGTTTTAATTTTCTCTGGAATCTCTTTTTTGTTGACAACCTCCTGTTCCGTGTTCCTCACCTGGTTCTACTCCAGAGGCCATCAGCCCCATTAGCAGCAACCCCTCCTCCCACCTCCCGATAATCGCAGGGAACTTTAAGGTACAGATTTGTTCTATGTCGGCAAAAGGAAAAACTGGGATGTCCAACCATCTCTTTAATGATTAACAGAAGATACTGAATCACAAAGGCAAGGCTGTTAATTTCTAACATGCTATGTTATAAAAGTTTTACATACTGTTTAATGTTGCAAAAGGGAAAAAAAAAAAAAGAACCCAGCACCAAAGAGCTATTTAAACACCACTGGCATTGAACAGGTTTAGGAATTTACTCTTTAGATGAAAAGAAAAAACTTAACAATGACAAAATTATGGTGACTTAAGAAATAGAATTAAATGACAAGGTAGTAGATGTGCACCAAGTTCCATACACGAAGTGCTTAGACAGAAAACTTTAAAAAGTAGAGTTGGGTTATTCCTTAGAATTAAAATCAAGCTAGCTGAAAATTCAATATATGCAAAAGGCAGTTAACAGAGCAGTGGAAACACACCGGACTTGGAATTAGGATATCTGGGTTCAAATTCCAGCTCTGATGTTTTAAGAACATGTCATTCAATCTAAATTTTCAGCACTATAAAATAGAGGTAACAGCACTTGCACTGTCTATCTTATAGGGTTACAGTTTGGAAAATTGTTATTACAAACTTCAAAGTTCTCCATAGATGAGCTATTATACACTTCTATGTATATATTACAAGTAAGAGAGTTGGAGTATATCAGTTGAAATTATTTAAGTGAATGGCAGTCTTTAAAAATTGAGATGAACAGAGAAAATTTATCAGCAGATTAAAGAAAACTGTTTTGGCCTGGACCTATGATTTCATTGGTATAGGAAACTTCCTCTGAAGAAATTTCCTAACAGTTGCCTGAGGCACTGAGAAGTTAAGTTACTTACCCCATAGTCACCCAACCTGTGTCAGAAGGAGAACTTAAACCCAGGTCTTCCATGACCCAGAGATCAGCTCTCTTAACAATCACAATTTTGATGTCTCCAAAAAAAAAAAAAAAAAAATCAGTTCAGGTTTTAACAATGCATATCAATCACTTTTATGTAAGCCTTCTGGAAAGCTGAAACTAGGTATAGAGCCTATCTTAATGGTATGCTTTACTAACTTGAATTATTACTAAAACCTAACATTATTATAATAAACTAAGGTCTACAAAATGTATGCAGTTATAACACACAAATACACATAATTACAACAACTCTGTGACAGTTTAAAAATATTATTTCCATTTACAGATAGAGAACTTGAAGGCCAAAGAAGTTAAATGACTTGCACATGGTTACATAGGTATTCAAATCATGGTCTCACCTACCCAGCTTTCTCCAATATTACTGTTCCAAGTTTCCAACCTGCTCCAAACATATTTAAGTCTTCTACTTCTTATGTGGATCACGATTTATATTTTGTTGAAAATTACTATTATGTTTATCAAATTGTTTTATATGTTAACTTAAATCTACTCAGCCTTTTCCAGTTTTCATTATCAATTATCTCCCCACCCCTCCAGATAAATCAACTTAATGATACCTGGAACCCAATTTGTAAAATAAGCAGGCTGGGAGAGCACTTAAAATAAGATAATCACGGGGCAGCTAAGTGGTGCAGTGGGTAGAGCTCTGGCCTTGGAGCCAGGAGGACCTGAGTTCTAAACCCAGCATCAGACACTTAACACTTACTAGCTTCGTGACCCCTGGGCAAGTCACTTAACCCCAATCGATCCCCTCACCAAAAAGAAGAAAAAAAAAAGTAATCACAACAGCTGAATAACAAACAAATACACCACAGACAACACACCACAAATGTGCAAGAAAAGCAAAGGGAATCATTTATTTTCCTTCTTTATAATGAAGGTAAAATAGTGACGAAGAGTTGTAATGGACAAGCTGTACGTATGCATTCAAAACCATGTCACTGCACTAGTAAATAAGACTGATTCCAAGAAATCAACAAGTTATGAAGGGAAGAACGTTAATTATCAAATAACTAAAATTTGTAGTCAATCCTTGCTTCTCTCAAGGTACCCCAGTCAGGCTCAAAACACGAACTTTCACGAATGCCACAACGAAATTTAACTTAAAAAAAGTACAGATATTATAACTACTTTTGCAACTTAAGAGGGAAGAGTGCTGCCAGCTGTCATCTTTTTCAAGGGAGCCCGAAAACTTTGGTTCAAGTTCTGACTGTCCTTTTATTAGCAAAAGGGGAAGCAAATCTTGATTGCCTCAGTTTCCTCATCTGAAAAGTGGGGAAAGAGGAATAGAGACTGTGATGCTGCTTGCCCAGGGATGGAAAAGACCCTTTGCAAACGGCAGAGCACCTCGGAAGCGTGACCGTGATCCATTTCTGTTACTGGCCGGGGGCGATCCGCCGAGCCGGGCTGTTCTCCGCTCCCTCGTTCGGACGTACAAACCTAAGTTAGTTGTTCACAGCGGGAGGCATGGGGAGGTGGTGGGAAGCGGGGGCGCTCGGAGCCCGAACTTCCCGGAGCCCCTCCCCCCGCCCCGGGGAGCCCCTTTCTTCCCCAGCCCCCTCCCGCGGCCCGCGGCCCACGTAGGAGCAGCCCGACCCCCCACTTACAGGGCTTTTTGGCATCCTTGATCTTCATGCTGCTCGACGGTGGAGCTAGGGGCAGCGGCGGCGGCGGCGGGGCCTGCTCCGGGGGGCGGCGGCGGCTCGGCCCGAGGGCTCCTGGGTCCCGAGGTGGCGGCGGCGCCGAAGCGCGGGCCGGGTCCTCCCCACAGCGCCGCGGGGGGCGGGCTCGAAGCGGGGCGGGGCTGCCGGCCGCCTGAGGCGATGCCCGGCCGAGTGGGCGGGTGGCTTGGGAGGGGGAGGGTCCGCCTCCGGTCCGGGACCCCCAGGAGCTCCTGAGGCGCGGCCGACACGGTGGGGTCGGAGGGCGCGAGGAGGGACAGACACCGGCGCTCGCCGCTCCGGGGCCCACCACCGCCGCCGCCGCTCCAGACAAAAGGCCCCTCTCCCGGGAGCCGCCGCGCTCCGCCGCCGCCGCCGCGCTAAGCAGCGAGCCCGCCCAGATGGAAGGCACACGTGACGCCCCCACTCTGTGCGCGCTAAGAGGGGCTGCTGGGGCTCGTAGTTCTCTCGACAGCGAGGCGCCGGTCCAGGACTGCTGCGGTGTGTTCGGACTACAGAGCCCAAGATGCTTCACGAATATAGGTTCCCCGAGGTCTTTCCTACCCCCTCCCATCACCTCAGCGTCTTCCGCGAGGGGAGGGGGCGGGGCGTGAGTCACGCCAGGCAGCTGGGGACCAATGGGGACGAAGAGAGGGCGGGGCTGTGAGTATGTACACAGTATATTTGTCTGTGGGGGAGGGAGGAGGAGGTGTGTCGGGTCTAACCCTCTGTTCTGTCCGGGATGCGACCTTGCACACCCGTTTCTCTGTGAGAGTAGGATATCTACTTTTTTTTTTTCTTTCTTTCTTTCCCCTCTCTAGCTCTAGCCCGAGGCCGCAGATGTTCTTTCAGAAAGTGACAGGTGGAAGGCGTTTTTGGATAGATTCTAGGGCCCAGAGAAGTTAAGCAACTTGCCAAAAGTCACACAGCTAGGCAATGGCAGAGAGAGGCCTTAGAACTGAAGTCTCCCGAGTGTTTTTTAGCACATTTTCCGCTATATCATGCTGGTTTGGAGGGAATGTCCAGAGCTGGGTGCTGCCTTCTCCACTTACTAAATCCTAAGACATTTCTCACTCCTTCCTTTCCCCAAGTTTTGACCCGGGTCTCCTGCTTCATTGCCACCACCAGGTCTTTGCCTGGTTTCTTCCCCTTGCAAGCTCTCTATGAGCTTAGGCAGCTCACTTCTCCACTTCTCTCATCCACACACAATATTTCTCTGGGTTTTTACTGTCAGTTACTATTTTGTGCAGGGAAACGCATTAAAAACAAAAAGGGAAACATTTTAAGTTTCTAGAATCTAGAATAGTAGAAAGAGTACTTAGAGTTAGAATTTCAAAATGAATATTTCAGTCTTTGTTCTGGCAGTTCCCCTTATTTTACAGATAAGAACCCTGGGGCCCTGGTTCTCTTCCCATTAGTCTGCTGGTACCAATCTCTTGGTTATTTTCCACATTTTTAGGTCTCTCAGCAATTTGTCAATGGGAAGTAAAAGAGAAATTGAAACTCTCATAATGAGTTATTGCCATTCTTGGGGGGAAGTGAATGACTTTGGAAATTACAGGCTAACTTGCCATCTATGACTTCTGTTTGGCAAATTTGTTCTCTACAACCATACACAGCCCTGGCAGTGTACTCTCATGAACAGAGAAGGGTTCATACCCATATTTGCAAGTATACCTCAGTTTATTGGGCTTTTAAAAAATAAATCTTTTTTAGGGATTGTTCCAGTAAGATTGTCTTATTTGTGTTCTACCCAGGACCTGGTTGAGAATTCTGCCAAATATTCATGAACATTTTGGCTCCAATGTTGTAGACTGGAAAATTGAAAATAAAGATTGTGTCATCAGAATCACTGTTTTGGAGTAGTTATTTCAACTGCTTGTTGGTTCTAAGACTCATTCATTGCTGTACGGATAATTGTGTTGTCCCTGTTAGTTACTTCGAACATGTCTTTGACACAATTCCTTGAAAGTCATAAATGAGTCATTGCTGGAGATGGGGAGAGCATCCCAAGATGGCAAGCATTTGTCTTGGTATTTAGAGCCAGCCAATCACTCTAAATCTACCCTTGTTTTGCAAGAAGACAGAGGACTTAAAAACTGGTCTCCTTGTTCAATGCTTGGACCTGCTTTTGCTGCACTAGTATACACAGAGAGATGTTGGAGAGTTGTGCTAAGTACAAAGCCAAGGCACTAGTTGAATATACAAATCTAGGTCACTTATATACAAAGCCAAGACACTTAAGAGAACAGGAACCAGCAGTCATTCATTCTATAAGTATTTATTGAGTATCACATGTCAGGTTGTTGTTGTTAGTCATAAAATACCTGGCATTTGAACAATGTGCCCAGCCCACCAGAGGTGTGCTCTCTGCAGTAGAGTTAGAGTGTTTAGCAGTGTCAAGAAAGAACCTGAGTGTCTGGTGCCTTATCCTGCTAGGTGATCTTCAGAATCTTTCTAAGACAATTCAAATGGAAGCCATTCAGTTTCCTGGCATGGTACTAGTAGAATGTCCAGGTTTCATAGACACGCAACAATAAAGTCAGCACAACAGCTTTGCAGACCTTCAGTTTGGTAGGCAGCCTAATACCTCTTTTCTCCCATGATTTGCTTCTGAGCCTCCCAACACTGAGCTAGCTCTGACAATGCACGTGTTAACCTCGTCATCTATGTGGACATCCTTAGAAAGTATACTGCCAAGGTAAGTGAACTTACCCACAGCATTCAAATTTTCTCCTTTTACTATAAAACATTAACAACTAGGGGAATCATGAAACACCTCATGTAAGAAGTAGCACTTGAGCAGTCTTGAAGGGAACTGGGGATTCTAAGAGAAAGGGATGAGGAGGGAGAACATTTCAGGCAAAGGTGTGAAGAGAGGAGATGGGATGTTGTGTAGGGAGAACTGAATAATCAACCACTTTGTTTAAAGCAGCAACAGGACAACAACCACAACTACAACAACAAAACCTACATAAACATTCATTGTGGGAGCCTATCAGCCTCATATGAGACAACATCGATAAGCAGGTTGGTGCCATGCCAGAGTATTTCTCGGGCCTCCCAGCCAGAAGGAAGAATATCTGTGCATTTACTATCTGAGTCTCTTCTACATATTCAAAGTGCCATCTTAAGGGGAAATGGCCTTGGGGATGCCTCTTTCCTGTGGTGAATAGAAAAAAAATTTGAGAGTAGTACTTACTACTTTGTAGCTCGATAGGACTACCTCACTTAGCTTAAGTGAACACCAGACTTAGGTTCAAGCTTTTGGAGGGAAGGAACCATATCTTATATTTCTCTGCATCCCTACAGACTGTCTATCTATCTAGTATATGTGTAATGAATGTTTGTAGAAATGGGGAACAATTAGAGACCAATAAAAATAAACAAACCAGTACCAAATCAAATACTAAGAATCTTTCAACTTTTATGTGTCGGATGAACATTTGACGTCTTTAATGTCCCTCCATCTACTTTTCTGATCCTGCTTTTCAAACCTTTATGTGTGCTCCTCCAAAAATTCTGAAGAATTTTTCTTATGTTTCTTCCTCAACTTCCCACTCCACTAATTTTTCAGACTTGAATCCTAGTCCTTCAGAGGCTGGTAAGCTCTTTAAGAGCTAATCTAATAAACAAAGAGCTAGTAAAATATAAAGGTTGATAATGGCTTATGGTTGTGATTTTCAGTCTTTATGTATATATAGCTTTGAGAGAAATAATTATTAATAATCAGTTACTAATATGGGGGTATCAAGTTTTTTTTTTTCCCTTTCTATTTCCTCATTTAGTTATTGGGTCAAGACAGCCTCCGAAGGACGGGACTGATGATGAGATTGGGTTCAGTCTTGGGTGGGACCCCACCCAATTGGGAAAGCTTAGTTCTGATTAAATGGTGAAGACCATTTTGTCTAGGTGGAATTCTTACTTAACCCCACCATTGTTCTACTCTGGTAAGACTGAGTGGAGAAGAGAGCCTTTTGTCTAGATTGCCCAGATGTAGTAGTCTGGGTAAAAATCTCTTTGTCCAAAAGTGACATAATGAAAGTTACAGTCCCCTAGCCCATCATTAGAATAGGCCCACCTCTCATTATAATATTTATTCTCTCGTTAATTGTTAACCAATCAGAGTTGATTTATAACTGTCAGGAACACCCACTCGTCCAAGGATATTTAACCTCTGATCCAATCCCCAAGATTCGTCTTTGGCTTCTGTGAGTGTCACTGACCTCATTTTGTTAATTATTTGCTAGCCATAATTAATAAGTTGATTATTGATTACCCAGAAATTATGTCTCTCAGACTTTTCATATGTAATAACTTCCTTAAAAAATAGAGATTCCCACAAAACAATATATGCAAATAATTTCTGAGTTTTTATTGAAATAAAATTAAGAAATTATTATTTTTATAACCACAAAAGCAAATCTTAAAATATAATAAAATAATGTTACATATGTGTATTTAATAGTTAGCATTTATGTAGCACTTTTAGGTTTGCAAAGCACCTTACATATATTATCTCATGAACAACCAGGGGAAGTAGATGCCATTATTATCCCTATTTTTTAGATGGGGAGATCAAAGCAGATAAAGGTCAAGATACTTGCCTAGGCTCACATAGCCAGTATTGTCTCAGGAGGAATTTGAACTCAGAAATCTTCTTAACTCCAGTTCTAGCACTCCACTCACTTCACCACCTAGGTGCCTCTTATTTGAAAAATTCATAATTTTTATATTTATAGCAAAAACAAAAAGCATAGCAACAATATTATTAACATGATTGGTAGCCTTATTTGGCGAAAAGTTTCTCAAAAGGTGGTGTCATTCATGATATTGTGGCTTATAATTCTGTTTCCATCTACCCATGGAGATTGATATTTTGCCTTGATAACAGTTATAGTAGAAAACTCCTTTTCACATAAATAAAATGTTATGAATAGCAATAAAAATTGTATCACTTTCTGTGATGCAATCAGAGATATATATCACATATGTATGATGAATCATTGAACCCTTTATTAACCCACTG